TTTTCTCAAACTTAGACCATTTGGTAGAGCAAATCACGAGAAAATTTTCTATTATAGTCGTCATCTTGTCCAAGTTGTTGTAGTGCGAAAATCAACTTGAAATTTATGAAAAATAACCATATAATAGTATGTTTTCTATATTTTCTTAGAGTTGTGAATCTGGTAGCCCTTAATGACAATTTGAGAATGATATATTTATACCATTTTGTAGAGCATGGAAAACTGTGTCGATCTGCACTATTAGTTTTCATATTAGGCTTACAAAAGAAAAAATGATGGGTACCATAGTTATTATCTAGGATACCAAAAAGTGATATACCCCCAAGACTATTTGATCTTCGAAAATTCTTTTTCACATTCTACGAAAATCAAAATAAATACCCAGAAATGTGCAGAATTTCATGCTCTACCTTTCTAGCCTATTGAAAGTGAGACATAGGGGGGTGGCAGATTTACGGTCTTATCCGGCGGGGTGCTTAATTTCGAAAGACAATAATAACGAGGCTGAACGTACGTATGCTAACAAGTGTGTTTGACGCAAGCAGAGGAGTATCTTGTGCAACGACGTCAACCTCATTTCGAGTCGTTTTTGTCAAAATCTGCTGAAAGTTTTCCAAAATTATGTGTCAATTTGCAACGAATCAAAGATGGTATACCTATTCTGTATAACGTTAGTCAAGCTGGCTATGTTTTTAATGCGATTGTTGATCACTCTCACCCATCGATTGATTTCATTAATATTGCAAGGAACCAAGTCGCGTCCTTACTTGAACTCGATCTGGACAGTGACAATCGAAGATGAATGTACGTTAGTAAGAATACAGTCATTCAAGCCGGTGTAATTTTTGATGATTATTTGTTGAAGACAACCCTTGCCTTATCTAATACTGTGGGTTTTAAAGTGATTAATAATACTTCTGTATTCGATGCAGGTGAAACGATAGATGGATTCCGAATGTCAGCCACGGTACTCGTCGAACAACGATTGTTGCAACATAGACAACAGTTTTTTTAATTGCCGATTTGTGCAGCAAACGCAATGGGGTGAACAATCCATTTCATCATGTTCCAAGTAGTAGGTTAAAGGCAGCACTTGCTTCATTGGAAAATAAAGGATTGTTAAAGTCTGGTTATTTTATACATCGTCCGAAGTCTACGATCGCTGTTTCTTATATGAAACTTGCTATTCCTGGCGATTCAGATGTAGCTCGGCGAAATCAGTTTTTAAACCATTTGAAATATTATCGCATCGACCCGTCAACGTATGAAAGCATTTGTGACAGCAATATGCCTGACAAAACTGTCCTACTAGAAGACGGCATCAATTTCTTCACGGAAAATCAAAACTATGCTAGTCTGTGTATCAAGTATGGACTTGTATCAAGAGGTATTAGTATGTAAGATTTTTATAAATATAGTTTCTGTCGAAGTTTCCTATGTTTTATCTAACATAAATCAAATCATAGTGTTGGAAACGTTGAGTTCGGCACGAACGCTAATGCCAGCGACTGTTCCGGTAGTGAGCCGAAGGAAGGTATAACGTTTTTATAACTCTTGCAATTGCCTGTCTCAATGGCTTATCTAATCTAGATTTGGATAATTCGCAATCAGGTAAAGTCCGACTCTTATCAAATAGTTATTATTTCATCGAGAAATGAAACCAGTCATGATAATCTGGTGCCGGAAAGTGAATTATCACAAGTTAAGTGAAAATAATCATATTACCGCTACATTTTGTATTTAGGAACAACGCATGATCATAGCGTTTTAGAACATGTTGAACACTTGGCACATCAAACTCTTAACGAGAAAAGAGATAATCAATCAAAGGAAGGTAATTCAACCAATGGGAACTTATTCATTGTAACGCATTTTGTGTTAGCTTAAGAGGGCTTAGATAGGTGAGATCGCTCAGTTTCTAACATGGAGTAGACGTTGATTGCATAAAATATTTTTGCTGAGCTTCTATTTCTGTTCAGATAGTATGGGTACCATGAAATCATTTTGTGATTCAGTCTATGAATTTAATATTGAAATGGCAATTTCAGGGTCGATGAAGAGTTTGATGCAGAATAAAGACATAGATATTAAACACTCCAATATAAAAAACATCTTGCAATTTCCGTCATTCATATTGTCAAAGACTGATGTAGCTGAACCAACGAAAAATTTGAAAAAGTCTGCTGAAGCAGTGCGAGCAAAAATACTTCGAGAGATGATTGACAAAAAGTTGTTAATTCAAGGTGAGCTTTTATCCAGCGCAGGTCGCGGGAAAGAGCTTATCAGTACTATGGCTTTCATGAATGCGTGCCAAATAAGGATGATAAACAGGAGAAAGCTGACTTCATCCGTGTAATCAATTCATACGACATCAGCCAGGAAGCATTTTTATCTTATTTTGATAAATCAACGACTGGAAGGTTCCCTTTATTCTCATGTATTCTTACTTTTAATAAGTGTTTATCCTTAGGATTTTATATGACAACGAGTATGTCCTTAAATGAACGTGCCGAACAAATATTAAACACAACGGCTTGCGAACAGTACATGATGTGTGACAAACGGCAAATATTACGGGCATCTAGTGTTCATAATGTAGTTGAAAAAATGATGACGAGCCTGGTCCAAACAACACAGGTAGCTGTACATCTGGTTTTACGTGATGGACTAACTGATTTTTTGCATACTAGGTGTTATAACGTTTGAAGCAGCAACTTTGAAACAAAGTGCAAACTCAACTGGCTCAAGAAAGAAAAAACTTAATAGAAGAAGAGTAATTGAGTGACAATTAATTGCTCTTTGAGTATTATTCATGCCGATGAGCAGGACAGCATATAGCATGACATTTTGATTATAATCTTGTTTATTCAAATACGTCTATGCGAATTTTGGTTTAGCTGTTATTGCATAAAATGGTTTTTAAAGTTTCTTTTTCATTTGTCATGTTCTTTGCGCCTATTTCTTACGGATTATTGTTAAAACGTTACATACGGTACGTCATTTTCACATATTTCAAGTTTACTGAGTAAATCAGCTACGATAGTCTTCTATGGGATCACTATTTAACATCTTGTTTCAGACTAGTGTATAAATGGATGGTTATCGTGGACACTCGCGCTTTTCAAGATCGGAAGAACGCCAACTTTTTTATTTCCTTGATTAAAGCTGCACCGTTGAATATTATTATGTAGTTGTACTAAAAGTTAAAGAACGTTGTGGCTATGGAGAAAGATTTTCTGTTATTACTCAAATCATAAATCGACACTATAAGACAGATTATAGGCCATTATTCATTTGTTAACAGGTTGAATTGATTTCTCGTTCCGCGTTGTATACTGATTATTTGCAATTTAAAACTAGTTGTTCGTCACTGATTTTACTACACCAGGTATTATCTGGCGATGATATTGTTTTCCATCGATTAACACCGTTTACAAGATTACGTTTGGTACGTTCTTCTTCGCATGTTAATATGGATCTGTTATCCATCAGTCGTTTGTGGTTATTTAGAGTAGCTTGCGTGGATAGTTGCATCATTCAATACTATGTATGTACGAAATGTAAAACATGTTATTATCCAAACAGTTATTGGATTCGAGCGACGAAAAAGCACTATATCACTAGGGAGTCAATTCAACATGGGAATACAATTTGTTTTAGGGGACATACAGTTTATGATCATAGTTGTCTTTCGTCGTTTGATGTGGCTTTAATTGATCTGCATTCATCGTTTAACGGATTCGTGATGTATTACGATAATTTGATTAAGAGAGTCGGACTTACGATATCATCGTGCATTGAAAATGAAGTAAGAAAGATCGGTGTAAAACATTTTCAAAATAGTTGGCTAATGTTTCATATGTTGAAGATGGTGTTCAAGCTATCTAACATAACGATGATTGAAATCCCTTTGTCAATGCGTGACGAAGCTGATATGAATGTTTTTATTGATCAAAACAAAAAAAAAGTTATATTATTTATTCGTGTCTTTCTGGTCCAACCAGAAAAATATGAGTGGACGAAAATGTGGTGACAATTGTTCCAAAATATTGATTATTGATGATCACCAGTAATCTGGAAGACGCATCTGTAAATTCAAAAACTATGATAATTCGATTGTGGAGCTCGGACCAGTGTTAGTTGGCTGTCCACGTTTCGCTCTTCGTAACAAAGGTCAGTAAATAAAAATGGTATACTGGTTGTTAAAATCTTTTTCCTGTTACAGAAAAAAATCCATTGCAGTTGTGCGAAAAACATTTGGAACTGCCGAATGACGCTGTTGAAAATGGAATTTTATTTGAACGTTATGATGATACGATTGGTGATGAATGTAACAATAAAAGAAATGAATTGAATGATCATGCTGAACGTGGTGCGTCGTATGGTACCTTAGTATCCTTTCATAACATGTATGATAACGCGTGCAGTATTCAGTTGTACATGCAAAGTCGTTACGATTCGGATTAATTCAAACGTTCTCCAATTGCAGATTATTTATTTAAGACCGTTCGTTTTGTACTTGACAATTTTCATCAACGAACACACAAACGACATATATGTCAAGGAAGAATAAGATCAAGTGATCTATCACAGCGTGGTATGTTTGATCAAATCAATAGTCAAATCGTAGAGCAAACTTTCAAATTTTTTGGCAACTTTAAAACTCATTGGTGTGGATACTCGTTCCCTAAGAGTTTTGTTAACTATCTTATATTTTTTCATCTTTATAATTGTCATGTAAGCGGTGTTCAATTTTAAAAGTTAAAATTGAGTTGTTCTGCCTTGTTCAGTAAAATTGAAGGAATGAATATGCCTGATTTAGTGTTGAGGTAGTACGCTGATTTTCTATCCATAGGATTGTCTTATATGCTTTAGATGTCGATTGCCACGAAACACAGCGCTGTTACCGTCTCAAATTCGATTCTTAATTTTTGATCAATGAGTATAATACTGCGATAAAGTACATCTTAAAAATTCTGCTGAATTTTTCTTTTCTTACTCGAGCTTTCGGTACGTTACTACAACTATTGTAAAGAGCGAATAAAGTTAGAATAAATAGTTGAAAATTCATACAGTTAAACAGTTGGAAAATTCATACAGTTGTACAGAAAGGAAAGTTATTTTATTATCGTCTGTATATAGATTATATAAAATTAAAAAACGGGAAGAATATCCCTATGTTAAAGTTTTCTGTTCAAATTTGTTTGAACGATGAAATTTGTTTGAATAGGTTGAACGATTTTTGAATTTAGTTTCATTTTTCTAACGTCATGACGGTGCTCATTTGTTCTGATCTTTTTATCTCTTTCTGTCTCTTCGTAGTATTTTAAATTACAATCTCTACAAGGTAAATTCAATCGAACTGATTCTACTACCAAAAGATTCCTCGTTCAATTCTCTACAAAATGGTGTATAAACGACAAGCTGAAACTTTGAGTCGGTGTTCCAGCTGAACAAAACGTGATCTACCTCGAAAACGTGAAAAATGTAATCGTTTTCTACTAAGTGTTTTAATTTGAAATCTATCCTATAAGAGGGATACAAGCCATATCCTAAGTTGCTGTTCTACACATTCAGATGTTTTCCATCTGACAGCATAGAATTCATTTCCCCTCCTTGCGTCAACCCGATAAAAATGGCTAATTAATTGCTTGCCGTAATAAATCAGCGAAATATCCATGTGATTATCTCGTTTTTTTTCAAAATAAAATTATTTCATACTTTTTGGATGTGAATTTAGTAGGAAAAAATATTCTTTTCAAAATGACAACTGTGTGAGCTTAACTGGTTTACTATTGTCCGAAATATGATTTATCTGCGAATAACACGTAACTCGAAATATAAATCGCCTATAAAAACTTTTCGAAGTTACCATATATAACTTCGAGATTTTTCTACTTATATGGGATTATAGTCCAAACATTTCTCTACAAAACAAGACGCTCCTAGACTCTGAGAAATCTTTTAAAAGCCATTTATAACAATTTTCGTGGAAGCCTAAGCAGCAGTTTGCAACTAGGGCATATCTACTATAGCAATGCTATTGCTGTTTTCTATTGAGACAATTATGGAAAGAAAAATAACTTGTAGTGAAAGAAACCTGAAGTTCAAAGTTTTAGGGTTTTTACACTTAGACTCTTCTTAACTATGGTTAAATAATAGGAAGCGAATTTTTTCTCTGCGACGATGAATGTCGTTTCTGTTTATTCATGATCGCTAATTTCTTCTACACTGTAAAGTGGAAAGTAATGTAGAGAATGATCTTCATGGGAAATTAGTGGCACTGATCTTATTGCGCTATTTAACACAGGCTTCTTGGCAATTGTTGTTAGAGATTCTGTCACGAGAAGGCGAGAAGGAACATTGTCTTCTACGGCTGTCTTCTAGTTTTTCCAGTCGATTCGTTGGTTATTCTCTAGTTCATGTTTTTTAGGTGATATTATATCGGAGAGATAATCTAACGCCAGATTAACGGTATCTCCCCCACCAGCTTCGGTATTGCCTGAAAATCAATACCACTTGGTGGTTGTTGGACCTTCTTAGACTTTGAGATCCATCGTTTGACTAAATTCTGTTAGTGATTCGTAGCCGTGACTTTGAATGGAGCTATAGATCGGGTTCTCCATGGTCTTTGAATCTTCTCACGCTTTGTCGCAGTGTTTTACCCACGTATGTCACATTACAATCAATGCACTCGGCTTCATAGATCATCTTTGATTGTAAATTCCTTAGGACAATGTCTGTGTTTATAAATGATTGTCTGACCGCCGATGGTAGACGTGCGATTGTGAGCATGTGGTCTGACTTGTCGGGCTAATGTTCTTAGCCTTTTACCAAATTCTGGATCCTCCAGTGTATAGAATGTCAACTATGGTTAATTCATCTTGTTGAGATATCGACTTTGGATCATTTTCCGGTTTTGATGAGACTTTCTTTTTTTGCCAGGATAGAATCTCTCCAGGGTATTTCTAAGTTGACTCTTGATAAATGGCTATGGATAGCCATTTGAAACTGACACTTTCTTAATGAACTCACATTCCTCGTGCATCAGACGATAAAATAGCATAATAAGATCAGTGCCACTAATAATCTATCCTGAAGATTCTCAAAACAAAAATAGACAAGGCCATTCTAAAGGCAAGATGCAACAATAGAGTTATAAGTAGAATAAATACTACTACCGATGTTATTAAAGAGGTACACAGTTCTTTCTACTTATTACGCTATTGTTTCATCTTGACTTTAGACTGCTCTTTTCTTTTGCTCAAAACAAAAATAGAAAAGAGCAGTCTAAAGTCACGATGAAACAATAGCGTAATAAGTAGAAAGAAC